CATTGTACATATCAAAGTCACTGTAAATGTACATTATAATTAACGTACATTGTACATATCAAAGTCACTGTAAACGTAAATTGTAATTAACGTGCAATGTACATATCAAAGTCACTGTAAATGTACATTATAATTAACGTACATTGTACATATCAAAGTCACTGTAAACGTACATTGTAATTAACGTGCAATGTACATATCAAAGTCACAGTAAATGTACTGTAGCTTGATGATTCTACATTTTACTTCTCAAATCATCACAGTTTGCTACGGAGAATCAGAAGTTTCAAGCTGAAATTCACAAAAATAACAGCAACCAATTTGCATTCTTTTTCATACCAGCATGAATGTTAAAAGCACTCTGTTTGATATGTATATATTTAGATTTAATATTCATATTCATTACTGATCTAAATATAAGTATTTACTAATAATTGTACTACATCGTAATAAAGTTTCTGTAGCACCGATGCATTTTCAAACATTTAATGTCGCGTTCCATAGGGTCATGCATTGATTCGTAAATAAAATCATCAAGCTTACGTAGCGGTGACAATTAAAATTCGAATTGTCCGCCATGATGGATATTTCTATATGCTCATAGTACAATTATGAAAATGAAATATAAAATGTACAAACAACAACCACAAAACCCATAAAAACTCATAAATGTATAAAGATCATATAATTGACCAATTATCAGACCAAAAACATAAACAATGGCAATATGGTAGGGGGATAAAGAGAAAAACGTTTCTGACAAAATTATGGTGGCATCCAGGGTTGGCAATAGAACCTGGGGGCGGTAAATCAGGGGACTACTGTATACATATTAGCAATTATTTATTCATCTTGTAAACTGTGGAATAAGTTTGAATTGTATTTGTTACTACATGTGTAAAAGATGTGCATTGATTAGGTTGCCTTACAAGCATCAGCTGTAGGGAATTTCCCTTTAGCTAAGCTGAAGAGCATCGGGCTGGAGAGCCAAGGGTTGTGGGTTTGAGACAGAGTTTGAGCTGAGACACTTACAGAACTGTGGATTGTGACAGAGTTTGAGCTGTGATACTTACAGAACTGTGGATTGTGACAGAGTTTGAGCTGTGATACTTACAGAACTGTGGAATGTGACAGAGTTTGAGCTGTGATACTTACAGAACTGTGGAATGTGACAGAGTTTGAGCTGTGATACTTACAGAACTGTGGAATGTGACAGAGTTTGAGCTGTGATACTTACAGAACTGTGGAATGTGACAGAGTTTGAGCTGTGATACTTACAGAACTGTGGAATGTGACAGAGTTTGAGCTGTGATACTTACAGAACTGTGGAATGTGACAGAGTTTGAGCTGTGATACTTACAGAACTGTGGAATGTGACAGAGTTTGAGCTGTGATACTTACAGAACTGTGGAATGTGACAGAGTTTGAGCTGTGATACTTACAGAACTGTGGAATGTGACAGAGTTTGAGCTGTGATACTTACAGAACTGTGGAATGTGACAGAGTTTGAGCTGTGATACTTACAGAACTGTGGAATGTGACAGAGTTTGAGCTGTGATACTTACAGAACTGTGGAATGTGACAGAGTTTGAGCTGTGATACTTACAGAACTGTGGAATGTGACAGAGTTTGAGCTGTGATACTTACAGAACTGTGGAATGTGACAGAGTTTGAGCTGTGATACTTACAGAACTGTGGAATGTGACAGAGTTTGAGCTGTGATACTTACAGAACTGTGGAATGTGACAGAGTTTGAGCTGTGATACTTACAGAACTGTGGAATGTGACAGAGTTTGAGCTGTGATACTTACAGAACTGTGGAATGTGACAGAGTTTGAGCTGTGATACTTACAGAACTGTGGAATGTGACAGAGTTTGAGCTGTGATACTTACAGAACTGTGGAATGTGACAGAGTTTGAGCTGTGATACTTACAGAACTGTGGAATGTGACAGAGTTTGAGCTGTGATACTTACAGAACTGTGGAATGTGACAGAGTTTGAGCTGTGATACTTACAGAACTGTGGAATGTGACAGAGTTTGAGCTGTGATACTTACAGAACTGTGGAATGTGACAGAGTTTGAGCTGTGATACTTACAGAACTGTGGAATGTGACAGAGTTTGAGCTGTGATACTTACAGAACTGTGGAATGTGACAGAGTTTGAGCTGTGATACTTACAGAACTGTGGAATGTGACAGAGTTTGAGCTGTGATACTTACAGAACTGTGGAATGTGACAGAGTTTGAGCTGTGATACTTACAGAACTGTGGAATGTGACAGAGTTTGAGCTGTGATACTTACAGAACTGTGGAATGTGACAGAGTTTGAGCTGTGATACTTACAGAACTGTGGAATGTGACAGAGTTTGAGCTGTGATACTTACAGAACTGTGGAATGTGACAGAGTTTGAGCTGTGATACTTACAGAACTGTGGAATGTGACAGAGTTTGAGCTGTGATACTTACAGAACTGTGGAATGTGACAGAGTTTGAGCTGTGATACTTACAGAACTGTGGAATGTGACAGAGTTTGAGCTGTGATACTTACAGAACTGTGGAATGTGACAGAGTTTGAGCTGTGATACTTACAGAACTGTGGAATGTGACAGAGTTTGAGCTGTGATACTTACAGAACTGTGGAATGTGACAGAGTTTGAGCTGTGATACTTACAGAACTGTGGAATGTGACAGAGTTTGAGCTGTGATACTTACAGAACTGTGGAATGTGACAGAGTTTGAGCTGTGATACTTACAGAACTGTGGAATGTGACAGAGTTTGAGCTGTGATACTTACAGAACTGTGGAATGTGACAGAGTTTGAGCTGTGATACTTACAGAACTGTGGAATGTGACAGAGTTTGAGCTGTGATACTTACAGAACTGTGGAATGTGACAGAGTTTGAGCTGTGATACTTACAGAACTGTGGAATGTGACAGAGTTTGAGCTGTGATACTTACAGAACTGTGGAATGTGACAGAGTTTGAGCTGTGATACTTACAGAACTGTGGAATGTGACAGAGTTTGAGCTGTGATACTTACAGAACTGTGGAATGTGACAGAGTTTGAGCTGTGATACTTACAGAACTGTGGAATGTGACAGAGTTTGAGCTGTGATACTTACAGAACTGTGGAATGTGACAGAGTTTGAGCTGTGATACTTACAGAACTGTGGAATGTGACAGAGTTTGAGCTGTGATACTTACAGAACTGTGGAATGTGACAGAGTTTGAGCTGTGATACTTACAGAACTGTGGAATGTGACAGAGTTTGAGCTGTGATACTTACAGAACTGTGGAATGTGACAGAGTTTGAGCTGTGATACTTACAGAACTGTGGAATGTGACAGAGTTTGAGCTGTGATACTTACAGAACTGTGGAATGTGACAGAGTTTGAGCTGTGATACTTACAGAACTGTGGAATGTGACAGAGTTTGAGCTGTGATACTTACAGAACTGTGGAATGTGACAGAGTTTGAGCTGTGATACTTACAGAACTGTGGAATGTGACAGAGTTTGAGCTGTGATACTTACAGAACTGTGGAATGTGACAGAGTTTGAGCTGTGATACTTACAGAACTGTGGAATGTGACAGAGTTTGAGCTGTGATACTTACAGAACTGTGGAATGTGACAGAGTTTGAGCTGTGATACTTACAGAACTGTGGAATGTGACAGAGTTTGAGCTGTGATACTTACAGAACTGTGGAATGTGACAGAGTTTGAGCTGTGATACTTACAGAACTGTGGAATGTGACAGAGTTTGAGCTGTGATACTTACAGAACTGTGGAATGTGACAGAGTTTGAGCTGTGATACTTACAGAACTGTGGAATGTGACAGAGTTTGAGCTGTGATACTTACAGAACTGTGGAATGTGACAGAGTTTGAGCTGTGATACTTACAGAACTGTGGAATGTGACAGAGTTTGAGCTGTGATACTTACAGAACTGTGGAATGTGACAGAGTTTGAGCTGTGATACTTACAGAACTGTGGAATGTGACAGAGTTTGAGCTGTGATACTTACAGAACTGTGGAATGTGACAGAGTTTGAGCTGTGATACTTACAGAACTGTGGAATGTGACAGAGTTTGAGCTGTGATACTTACAGAACTGTGGAATGTGACAGAGTTTGAGCTGTGATACTTACAGAACTGTGGAATGTGACAGAGTTTGAGCTGTGATACTTACAGAACTGTGGAATGTGACAGAGTTTGAGCTGTGATACTTACAGAACTGTGGAATGTGACAGAGTTTGAGCTGTGATACTTACAGAACTGTGGAATGTGACAGAGTTTGAGCTGTGATACTTACAGAACTGTGGAATGTGACAGAGTTTGAGCTGTGATACTTACAGAACTGTGGAATGTGACAGAGTTTGAGCTGTGATACTTACAGAACTGTGGAATGTGACAGAGTTTGAGCTGTGATACTTACAGAACTGTGGAATGTGACAGAGTTTGAGCTGTGATACTTACAGAACTGTGGAATGTGACAGAGTTTGAGCTGTGATACTTACAGAACTGTGGAATGTGACAGAGTTTGAGCTGTGATACTTACAGAACTGTGGAATGTGACAGAGTTTGAGCTGTGATACTTACAGAACTGTGGAATGTGACAGAGTTTGAGCTGTGATACTTACAGAACTGTGGAATGTGACAGAGTTTGAGCTGTGATACTTACAGAACTGTGGAATGTGACAGAGTTTGAGCTGTGATACTTACAGAACTGTGGAATGTGACAGAGTTTGAGCTGTGATACTTACAGAACTGTGGAATGTGACAGAGTTTGAGCTGTGATACTTACAGAACTGTGGAATGTGACAGAGTTTGAGCTGTGATACTTACAGAACTGTGGAATGTGACAGAGTTTGAGCTGTGATACTTACAGAACTGTGGAATGTGACAGAGTTTGAGCTGTGATACTTACAGAACTGTGGAATGTGACAGAGTTTGAGCTGTGATACTTACAGAACTGTGGAATGTGACAGAGTTTGAGCTGTGATTCTTACAGAACTGTGGAATGTGACAGAGTTTGAGCTGTGATACTTACAGAACTGTGGAATGTGACAGAGTTTGAGCTGCCGTTGAGATCAATGTGAGTGTGCTCTGTGAAGTTCATCAGCTCTTTTTGTAACTGCTCTATGATTCCTGAGTCAAAGAAGTCGGTCGTCCGTACTGTAAAATAAAAACTCTCTGTCATAAGTAACTTTATAACGTGTCTGTGGTACATACTGCAAAACAAATTACACTCTTTCATAAAGAAATATATAACGATCATGACAATACCATTAATCTACTAAACAGTAGGGTAAGATGTGCTGGTGGACATTTTATAATCAGCTTGCATCTCAAATTTTTAATATTTTTGCACAAATTCATAAGGATATTTATCCCTATAAAAGAGATGTTGTAACTGTTCATGTAAATATATTGTAATTGTTGCCATGGATACACAAATTGTATTGTAATTGTTTCTGTGGGGATATTGTCATTGTTCATGGATAGACAAAAAAAATGTAAATTAGTCGTCTTAAGCACATGCAATCACAAAATATTTTATACAAGTAAAATGATTTGTACTAAATGTATTTCAATCCTGAAAAATCCTCATTATCCAAGCTTTGTTATTGTAGTAGAAACAAAAGTTCAATTCAAATTATCAAACAAAAGGGACATATACATAAAAACAAAATCTTGTTTCTTCTGTATATTAATAACATGGTATCAATCAGTGTAAAAAATTCAATACACTGTAATTCATAAAATATTAGATAACCTACAAAATCATTCTTCACCCTTTGAACTGTTTGTAATTTTACCCAAAATGTTAACTTGTATAAATCTCACAAATATTTCACAGGGTGAATAGATAATATATACCAATTCTGTAATATCATTGAAACAAAGAGTAGTAATTTTTTATTTATACATTTCACCATACAATGATCCACCAAGCTATTTGTTTTTATCAAATCAAATTAAATATCAGTCAGTCAACAGGGCTAGAAAATCATATGGAATACCACTGGTCACTTAGGCTAGTAGTCTTCACTAGTCCATGTGTATATTCCACTAACCCCATATCATTTAACAAGATAAGCAATATCACATGTTAATTAGTCAATCGGGCTAGCTGTTTTTAGTACCACTAGTTCTGCTGGAAATTTCACTACTCTCAGACTATTGGGCTACCCTTATTGTCTAGCCCTTGACATTTAGAATAATAATCTTACTAAGGAATTGGTTTTCATTATCTAAAACACTAAAATACTGGTTTTTTTGGCCTGTTGAAGTTAACATTATTATCCTATCAAACTGTACATATATACTCATTATAAACCTCTTTGTTGTTTATTATTGAGTTCTATTTCAGTTACATTCTCCTTATTGATTTAACTTAACAGATAAAATCACACCAGAGGTAGTGCTACACCGATCAGTGTTTTCTTCCCAACAGTGTTTGATCACGATTGCCATTACATGCCATCCATGCGATCTGTTTTAACTTAACAGGCAAAATCATGACTATTTACTGCCACAGAATCACTGACTTGGATTTAAAAATAAAATAAAATAAAGGAAAGTTTAGTTGTAAATAGTGGTGTGAAGGAGCTGATTACACAACGATTACAGTACGAGTGTATCTACAGCAGAGACAGACAGTACGAGGATCACTCTACCACTGTATTAGGAATGTTAGACAAGGTGTTTTCTCTGAGAATCAATATTCAATTGGTCTCCGGAGTCACGATGGCCGGTAAAGATTGAATTTATTACTGACTCAGAACAAGTCTTAAACAAGCAAATTCGTGAAATTTATATCCCCCACTTTCAGGACATATTGTAGGTAAACATTATTGAGGTTAGGTTTAAACATGTGAGTATGTATCGTGCTGTTGAGACATAATGTATAGCTAGAAACTTGAAGAAAAAAATCCCTTATCTAATATTTGCTCGAGTTATTAAGCAGAAACTGCAGATAATGACTGCCAAATGGAGTCCGATTAAAGTGATTGTCAAGCTTGGCCGAGCCCTTAATGCGTTGAACCCTGTTACTAAGTTTGAAGACAATCGGATAATATTTAGAGTTAATGAACAGAAACGGAAGATAATGATGTTTTTTGTTATTCAAGGGGCCATAACTCCGCTGATGGTGGTCATCAAACTTGGTCGAGCCCTTAAGACATTTAACCCTTGTACAAGTTTGAAGAAAATTGGTTAACATTTGTTGTAGTTATTGCACGGAAACGAAACGCAGCAGATAATGACGCTTTCTGTTATTCAAGGGGCCATAACTCCGCCAAATGGGGTCCGCTGAATGCGGTCATCGAACTTGGCAGAGCCCATAACGCATTTAAGGTATTTAACCCTGTGATCAAGTTTGAAGAAAATCAGTTAACATTTGTTGCAGTTATTGCACGGAGACAGACAGACAAACCCAAATTAATATCCCCCATTTTTGTGAAAGCGGGGATAATAATAATATGCAATGAGAGGATCCCGGAGAAAGAAGAGACTTGACAGTAGCTCTGCCTCACACCCCAATCTTTATACACCTCTATGAATATGATACAGAGGGAGAGACTTGACAGTATTTCTACCTCACACCCCAATCTTTATACACCTCTATATATATAGGACAGAGGGAGAGACTTGACAGTAGTTCTACCTCACACCCCAATCTTTATACACCTCTATATATATGGTACAGAGGGAGAGACTTGACAGTAGTTCTACCTCACACCCCAATCTTTATACACCTCTATATATATGGTACAGAGGGAGAGACTTGACAGTAGTTCTACCTCACACCCCAATCTTTATACACCTCTATATATATGGTACAGAGGGAGAGACTTGACAGTAGTTCTACCTCACACCCCAATCTTTATACACCTCTATATATATGGTACAGAGGGAGAGACTTGACAGTAGTTCTACCTCACACCCCAATCTTTATACACCTCTATATATATGGTACAGAGGGAGAGACTTGACAGTAGTTCTACCTCACACCCCAATCTTTATACACCTCTATATATATGGTACAGAGGGAGAGACTTGACAGTAGTTCTACCTCACACCCCAATCTTTATACACCTCTATATATATGGTACAGAGGGAGAGACTTGACAGTAGTTCTACCTCACACCCCAATCTTTATACACCTCTATATATATGGTACAGAGGGAGAGACTTGACAGTAGTTCTACCTCACACCCCAATCTTTATACACCTCTATATATATGGTACAGAGGGAGAGACTTGACAGTAGTTCTACCTCACACCCCAATCTTTATACACCTCTATATATATGGTACAGAGGGAGAGACTTGACAGTAGTTCTACCTCACACCCCAATCTTTATACACCTCTATATATATGGTACAGAGGGAGAGACTTGACAGTAGTTCTACCTCACACCCCAATCTTTATACACCTCTATATATATGGTACAGAGGGAGAGACTTGACAGTAGTTCTACCTCACACCCCAATCTTTATACACCTCTATATATATGGTACAGAGGGAGAGACTTGACAGTAGTTCTACCTCACACCCCAATCTTTATACACCTCTATATATATGGTACAGAGGGAGAGACTTGACAGTAGTTCTACCTCACACCCCAATCTTTATACACCTCTATATATATGGTACAGAGGGAGAGACTTGACAGTAGTTCTACCTCACACCCCAATCTTTATACACCTCTATATATATGGTACAGAGGGAGAGACTTGACAGTAGTTCTACCTCACACCCCAATCTTTATACACCTCTATATATATGGTACAGAGGGAGAGACTTGACAGTAGTTCTACCTCACACCCCAATCTTTATACACCTCTATATATATGGTACAGAGGGAGAGACTTGACAGTAGTTCTACCTCACACCCCAATCTTTATACACCTCTATATATATGGTACAGAGGGAGAGACTTGACAGTAGTTCTACCTCACACCCCAATCTTTATACACCTCTATATATATGGTACAGAGGGAGAGACTTGACAGTAGTTCTACCTCACACCCCAATCTTTATACACCTCTATATATATGGTACAGAGGGAGAGACTTGACAGTAGTTCTACCTCACACCCCAATCTTTATACACCTCTATATATATGGTACAGAGGGAGAGACTTGACAGTAGTTCTACCTCACACCCCAATCTTTATACACCTCTATATATATGGTACAGAGGGAGAGACTTGACAGTAGTTCTACCTCACACCCCAATCTTTATACACCTCTATATATATGGTACAGAGGGAGAGACTTGACAGTAGTTCTACCTCACACCCCAATCTTTATACACCTCTATATATATGGTACAGAGGGAGAGACTTGACAGTAGTTCTACCTCACACCCCAATCTTTATACACCTCTATATATATGGTACAGAGGGAGAGACTTGACAGTAGTTCTACCTCACACCCCAATCTTTATACACCTCTATATATATGGTACAGAGGGAGAGACTTGACAGTAGTTCTACCTCACCCCCCAATCTTTATACACCTCTATATATATGATACAGAGGGAGACTTGACAGTAGTTCTACCTCACACCCCAATCTTTATACACCTCTATACCTATATGACCAGTGCATTGATAAAAGATTCAGATCTACTAGATCTACGAACAGTAACATGTACACTTTCCAATGAATCTTGGCTCAGATTTTCCCCCAGAAAACACAAAATTAGATTACATATTTTGTTAAAAAAAAAATACTAGAAAAAATGAAATATTTTTCATATTAATTAACTCATTAAATATGACAGAAAAAAAGTGTGAATAGGGCACCTTTTCAGTAATGTAAATGTGAAAGACAGGTCAAGTTCAGAAGTCGTGCTTCAGTGCACAATCTGTCTGTGAGGAATGCATCATCGTAAATGTGGTGCACCATGTCACTGAGGTATGCCGCCATCACATCCTGGGACAGGAACGTTGGTAAGTATATATCAGTGTTTATATACCTCTACACATCCTGGGACAGGGACGTTGGTAAGTATATTATCAGTGTTTATATACCTCTACACACTGGTCACCTACATTGCTACATTACATACTTGCCAAGTGTCCCTATTTTAAAAATAGTCTTCTAATTTATCACCTTCGTTTTTTACATTTCAGATGACTACTAATTAACTATAGTGCTTTAC